GAAACCACGTCGGATTTGTGTCCCCTCATCGCGAGGCAGTCCTTCTCCATTTCCAGCCCAATTTTGGATCGCAGTTAAGCCCGATATTGCGCGGCGGCCATTTTTTTGGAAACGCTTGGGAGTTGGTATACGGCCTAATCTTCCGGGCCTTTACCATCTGTCAGATCGAGAGGTACATATCGTAGGTGAAATCTGGAATTGCTCTATTGAATGTATTAGTTTGTTGATTACAGGGTAAAAATAGGTACACCATGAGAATTCAGGCCTCATGAATTTATTGTGGTAGAAAATTGATAGCGATGGAGTCATGGCGGCGAGTGTTTCACAAATCACAACCTGACGTTGTGATAAAAAATGGGATGAGCAACAGCCGATCGGCTTTCGATAAAGCGAGCCATCAATCTCAAGGTGTCCCAGGTCATTGTCGGAGAACAAGGGAGGGATTTGGCGAGGATGTGCGCCATGCATTTGAATTTCTTTGGGATCAACAGGGGCATTTCAAAGTTCAGTTGGTCTGGTCTGGTTTCTTGTTCTAGCTAGAAACTTGTTCCGATTTTCACGTCTGGTCTTTTGAATGGCGGGAGTTCAAACGGCAATTTTCGAGTGCTAATCTAACAGTGACAAACAATCACTGCTAACAGCGCATGACATCAACATGAGTGTCAACTTATCGTCACGGCGCTGCTTGATCACAGGTGTTTGGTCGTTGTGATTGGCAAACATCACAATGAGGTCCCCCCATAATTCATGGAAAACAATTTCTAGAAAAATTAACAAATTGTTGAGATGGTGGAGATCTCTGAGAGAGTAATTGGTGCGACACTGTTCATTATGGGCCAATAGTTTCAGTAAAAAGCCAAACGTCATTTTCAGGCGTGTCGTCGCTGAACCACGAACAGACGTCTGGCCGGAGCCCAAACCAGCGCTTGAGTTTGATGAGAAAATTCCTAAAGCTGCCATCTTCTGATGAGTATAAGCGGTGAGTTTCCCAAGAACGCAGGCACGGTACAATTTCACTTTTTATGGAGGAGATGCTGAAAACTGAACGAAACTGAAAAGTCATGAAAAAGTGGGATAATGTGTTAGGGCGGGGCTAGGCTTCCTCTTGGGAAGGTCGTTTTTGAACACTTGTACAGGACCACACTTGAAAATGTGACAAAAGCTTTTCGCTGGCATGCTCTATCGTCATATCGAAGCATTGCCGCTCTGCTGCAAGTCGGCTATTTGTAATCACTGGCGTCAACAATAAAGAATGGTGAAAATGACATCGACCAATCCCTTTGTGATATGCGCCACGTATTCTCCCTCCATACAGAATCATGGTGATATTATGGACAGAAATTTCCTCTATACGATGACTTACGGGCGCGTCGGGAACTCTACGGCTTTCTGGATATTCTTGGGAATCTTCTTGGACGTTGACAGAATTTTCTTGCTCTCCTCGATCTTCTCGAGAGTCACAAGATGCTGTGAAGTTGGAAACCTGTAGTAACCCCTTGGTAAATAATGTTCATTGGTGATGAGAGCATAGGGATAGGAAATTACCTCCTAAGAGTTAGCTAAGAACTTTGG